AAAAGAGGAAGGAGTAGCTGTGGTGCAGTCCCCTAAAGCTATTAACCTTGGTACATGCCAACATCGGAGTTTCTAAAGCCCAGCAATGCACTGAATAAGGGGATGCATGACCAGCTACTCAGGACAGAGTAGCATTGTGGGAGAGCTACAGAGGTGAGGGCACAGAATGAGGACTACTTCTTTGAACTTGAGGCTCTTTTTTTCAGTTTCTTTTTTTATTTTTCCATAGAAGAACTGGTGGTGTAGGCCAGAAGTATAGAGGAGTGAGGGGATTCACTAGAGACAGAGCAGGGAGCAGAACAGGCAGATTGACTGAAATACACTGCTGAGGGGAGCAGCAGGCCAGACAGGAGAGGTCTTCTGTGCAGTATGTGGGTTAGCTCCATGGACTAGGAATGAACTCAGGCCTTAGTGGTGATAGCACTGAGACTTAACGCCTAAGCCACCAGGGAGGCCTGAATTCGAGTCTCTTAACACAGTACAGCTGTAGCCTGAATGAGGTCAGATCACCTGGACTTCCTTATAGAAGAGATTATCACTGAATTCCAGACTGAGATAGGAAATAACTGCCATCCCCGAGCCAGGCTGAGAAATTTAATTACGAAAAGGTCAATCTCCACGAAGGTGTGATAAAGGTATTTTGAATTTAAAAAAGTGAAAATGCAGTATATAAAATTTTGTTAGATGCATCAGAAACAGTGCTTAAAGGGAAGTTGATAGCACTAAATGCATATATTATAAAAAGAAGAACAATCTCAAATCAGTAATCTAAGTTTCCACCTTAAGTAATAAGTAAATGGATTATGAATGGTGTGAACCAGATTTTTCACTTGTTGGAGTGGGAGATAACAAATGGCAAAGGAAAAGCTAGAATGTTCCATGTAGCAATGGATTCAATTAGGAGACATCATTATAACTAAAAGTTAGCCTCATATTGACATAAGTAGCTTACACAGAAATTTTTTTTTAAGTGTGTATATATATATAAAGGAGTTAGAGTACAAATACATACTACTTATTCACTCCGGTAGCAAAGAGCATACCTCTTCCGTAGATCTCTAATATAAAGAACTAAATGTCCTTGGGAAAATGGCTGATTCTAGGACTGGGGAAAGAAACATATAAGATATGGGGCCTCCCCGGTGGCGCAGCGGTTGAGCGCTGGGTTGCGAAGCTGCCCGCGGCCTCTGCGACGCCGGTTCAATCCCCAGCTGCTCCCCGGCCATGGGAGAAGGGTCCCACATGGCGCGCAGACCTCTCTTGCCGCCCGCTGCTCCCCTCAGCAGTGTACTTCGGTCCTTCTGCCTGTTCTGTTCCCTGCTCTGGCTCTGATGAATTCTCTCACCCTCCCGCGCTTCTGACTGTACCCAGTGCATGTATAAACAAACACAAACAAACAAATAAAATAATAAAGAAAGAAATAAAACATGCCTCTATAAAAAAAAAAAAAGAAAAAAAAGAAACATATAAGATATGCCTGGAACATCTTGTAAAGTGAAAAACTGCTCAAAAATATTTCTTTAAAAATGCTGGCATTAATCGGGGTATGTCAAAGGCACATAGCAGCCAATAGGAAGAGCTCCCAATATCCAAAGCTAGAATAATTTGAACCACAAAAATGAAGTATAAATTGAACAATTATGGGCCCATACTGATATAAACAAATTAAAAAAATAGGGAGGAGGGACAAATCTTCACAGAAAAATTCCAAATAATTTATGTAAATACTCAGCTCTACAAGAGGTGGAGCATAAGTCCTCACTCCTTATGTGTGGGTTGCACACAGTGACTTCCTTCCAAAGAGGATAGTGGTGAGTCGTCAGGAAAACTAACTTACACTGGAGAAGCACAAAAAACACAGTCTCCTCCAGGTTATCAAAGTTAACAACAGTCATAAGTCATATTGAGAGTATATACCTTTGACATAGGATAGAATGGTACTGTATCTCTCTGTGTCTTCCTTCCGAACCTGTAACTTCAGTCTAAATTTGAGAAAAATGTCAAATTGCAACTAAAGAAAAATCTGCAAAACATCTGACAATTACTGTCAAAGTCATCAAAAATAAGGAAAGTCTGAGAAATTGCCATGGACAAAGGCACCTACAGAGGCATGACAAACTAAAGTTATGAATGCTGGAAGAGATCCTGGAACTTAAGTAGAACATTATGTTAAAACTAAGGATTTTTCAATGAACTATTTGATTTAGTTAATAATGAATCCAAAATTGAATCATTAATAGATTTAATAATAGAGGAAACTGGGTATAAGATATGTAGGAATTCTCTATATTTGCAACTTTTTTGTAAATTGGAACTATTTTGAATTTTTTTAAAGATTTATATATTTATGCATACAAGTGCTGGGGCACAGGCCAGAGATGTGGGGCGGTGAGAGGATCCACCAGAGACAGAGTGGGGAACAGAACAGGCAGATTGGCCGAAATACACTGCTGAGGGGAGCAGAGGGCGAGACAGGAGAGGTCTGCCTCGCCATGTGGGTTTCTCCCTGGCCTGCCAGGAATTGAACTTGTGCTGAAGAGGCTGCAGATTGCTTCATAGTGCAGTGCTTAACCCCTTGTGCCACCAGAGAGGCCTGAATTTTTTTTTTTAAAGCTTACTATATGTGGGCACTTTTCTATGTACTAGGAACACATTGTACAGCAAATAAACCTGGTCCCCTGCCTTCATGGTACTGTTTAGTGAGGATACAGAAAAAAATAAAGGTTTTTTTTTTTTTGGTGGGGGGAAACACTTTGGATGGTGAAATCCAGCATTACAGGGGCATTTATTTTAGTGCGGTTTATCAAGGAAGATCTCTTTGAGATTTGAAAGATAAGCATTAAATGGTTATGCAAAGAAAACAGGAGAAAGAAGTTTCCAGGAAACAGGACAAGCAAAGTTCACTAGGAGCCTTAAGGAATTGAATAAATATTCTATAGTCACATTGGGCTCTTGCAGAAGCCAATCCTGAGCAATATTTTTGAGCACGTGTATCTCATTAGACGGGGAGGGAGGACCACATGAAACATTTATAGGAGAGTAGGAAACTGAGTCAGGGGAGGTTATTGTGGCAACTAGCACTCATTAACATGGGAGAACTCTAGGAAACTGTAGAACATGCCTCTTTCCCCATCTTGGGAAGAAACTGGGGTAGTTTCCTTAGGCATACATACCAATAAACTGAGCTTAAAGCAGGTTACCCAAAGGGGAAAGAAAGTCAGCTAACCCATGAGTCAGATACCCAACTTTCAAGGTTCTAAATTTTCTAGAGACCTACAGTCAAAAGAAAGCATGGAAAATGAGAATTAAGTGTTCATCAACTTGATCCTTACCTGAAGCTAATAGTAGAGAAGTTTAAAAATTAATGCAACATCTTCATGTTTATTGTTGAAACCTTTTAATTCTGTCTACCCAAGTCAAAAAACTTTATCACATAAATCCTCATTATATAAAATGAAGGTGAGTCATTTCCCCCTATTCAAATCCACTATATAAAATGCTAATTTTCACTGGGGGGGGGCTAAGAAATATTATTTAGTTTTTCCAAAGAATTAGAGATCCTAGACCATTTACTTTTAATTTTTGTATTCTAAACTTTCAATTAAAAAACACAGGCATACATCCAAGTATTAATGGCAAGTCATTTTAAGTTTACTCATAAACCAAAATACTAGCACTCTAAAGCACTGTTTCTTGTTTTTCTTGAACTTATTTAAGGGACAGAACTCATAACAGTGGCATACTATTATATATTATATATATATTAGTATAATGTTATAATGTGGTGGTGGGACGACAAAGAGAAGGTATTTTCTTACTTCATCTATTCCCATTGAGAATCAGAGTTACAAATTACAGAATTTTACATAATACTATTGAAGAAAAGGTAAGATCTAAACTTAAACATAAATTTAACAAAGAACCTGCATTTTCTATGAGTTTTGCTTTGAACGAGTGTGGCACATAGGAACTAGGTAGAGGTTTATGTGGAAATCCAGTCTGTGATTCCAGATGAGGCACTCAGTAATTCACTTAATCTCTGTGATAACCTTCAGCAATTCTTAGTCTTTGTGTTTCCTACTTGATAAAATAGGAATGACAGTGTTGGTTCTACCTCTTCTCAGGGTGCTCTAAGACATAGTTTCATTAATTTATACAGACATTTATATATATACTAGGCATTGATCGGGGGGGGGGGAGCATAATGAATAAAATAAATTCCTTGTCTTCATGGAGCTTACATTTCAATGGGGGAAGATACATGAAAAATAAATCACAAAGACAGGTGCTATCAGTGGGAATAGAGATGGAAGGAGGGTGTTGTATTTTATAATAGACGGTCTTGAATAAAATAATGAGGGCTTACAACTTACTTGTTAACAGCTTAGTAAAAGACACAGCAGAGGCAAAGGCCCTGGTGTTGGAGGTACTTGGCACATTTGAGGAACTGCAGTGTGTGGCTGGAGAAGAATGTGCCGGCAAAATGGCAGTGAAGTCCAATAGCTAGGGTTGGGTGTGTAGATCATTTAAGGAAGGAGTTTGACTCTCATATGAAGGAAGATGGGGGTCACTGGATGGGTCTGAGCAGAAGAGAAACATAATCTAACTTATGCTTTAATAGGTTTACTCTGGCTACTGCACAGGATAGATTATGAAGAGTAAAGGTTGATAGAACAGTTCAGTGACAATATGTTAAGGCAGACCAGATAGGGTTACAGTATACAAGTGGTATGTGGTCAGTCTAGGTATATTTTGAAGGAAGAGGGAACAGGATTTTCTGGTAGACAGGAAATGATGTATGAGAGAAGAAAGTGGAATAACAAGAGTTAGACCTGAACAAATGGAACAAAGCATTACTGATATAAGTGAGCTTGCTTTAGAATTTAAAAAGCCTTATATAAGGTGTTTTTTAAGGTCATTTTTTATCAAAAGCCAAATATATCATAGATTAAAAGTTCATTCCATTTCACCATAACAGTTATTTCATGATTTTAACCAAATTTTAATTCTGCAAAACTCACTAATCAGAGGTCAGTTTACAATAGACATTTCCAATCAGAAAATGTTTTATTATAAGAAACAATCAGGTAAAAATGCAAAAAATTTTGTGCAATTATGGCAAAATGTTTTAAAATATCTATACACTTGCCCCCATAGGACTACAGTACTTACTACATACCTGAGCACTGAACATTGAATGCCATTTTAAATTGCTTCACATAGGGAATCTGATTCCTCGCAGAGCACATCAACTTTTCTCATGCACCAATGAAATCAGCTTGATGCTTAAGTATCAACTTTGTAGGATAACAGAAAACAAAGATGGACAATAAAGAATACAATTTCTACTTTCCTATAACATAGTTATACCAAATACAATTTTCAATGTGTAAAAAATATATAGGAAAGTGCTACATACATTCTTCAAATGCAAAACAAGGTTAAAGTGGGACTGGCATGTGTGAAACTATATTTTAATTCTTTAGTACCCATTGTGCCTTTTACTTGTATTATCATACTATGCAAATGTACCTTAAATATCTAAACATATACCCATACATATTACTAATCTTAGATTTCTAGGACCTCTTCTGAAATCATTTTAAAAGTGGCAAAATATCCCAGCTATATAATTTAAACAAATAGTTCTTCATACAAAATGTAATATATATTCTACTCCCATAGCAAATTCTAAACCTTGACATTGATACACTATACTTAGATCACACCCTCAATATAAATTGTTATAGCAAAAGGATCAACTGTTATGCAGATCAAAAGAATAAATCTGCTGCAGAATTAACCACAGTGTGTTGTACTTCTATATATCATACGGCACAAGTAAGTTGCCAACTCAAAGTTCTATGTCATGTTTTCAAGTAACACATATTTCTATATAAAAACAGAAGATTGTCCAAAAGCGGCAGGAAATCTTAGATATTCAAAAAAGCTCTCAAAAATAAATTACACGAACATCTCTCACAAAAGTTGACTTTTTTTGTTTTTTCATCCCCTCTGCAATGCAACACTGTAAGGACGCTTCAAAAAACACACAGAAATAACCTCAAAACATAAAGAAAACAGAAATACAGAAAAAACTGCAGAGAAAAAAATAGGTTATTGGTTGACAAAATTTATAAAGAGATTATAGATATACTTTCAAGGCCCAAAGAAGAAACCACACATTCCTAGCCTCCCAAGCCTAGATTTTAAACTGTGAATTCTATAAATGCTGTCCACTTTAAATTCTGCTTCAGAAAACATTCCTACTTGTAAAGGTCTACAAGTAATTTGAAAAGTTTCTGAAAAACGAGGTATGTGATGCAAAGAGGCAATGTTTTAAATTTGTTTCACAGTATCACATTACAATTTGTGCAAGAGTTTTAAATACAAACCATGCTAGTTTGTTTTCTTTAAGAGAATCAAAATGTTCTAGTTTAGGACAGACTCTAGGCTATACTTACAGTCTTTATCAATTATTCTAGGCATAGTAAAAAATAAGTTACTAGTTCAAATATCTGCCTTAGGTATTACATATCAATTGGTTTGTACTTTATGTTAATATTCCTAACTTATTATTAGGAATTCACCAGTTATCTATGAAAAACGATTTAGTACCTAAAATGCTATGGTTCTGACATTCTTTACCTTCTCAGTCAACTTCAGCTAGACAGGGTTTTCAATATGAAAATATCCATCAATGTTAAGTGCAAAAAAATGAAAAAAAATGAGGTTTCAATTGTCATATATAATGTAAAAGCCATTAAATCAGGCCATGGAAGGAGTTTTATGTTTCTGAAAAACAGAATTTTAAAAGTAGCTGTAAAACTTCACATTATGTTCTGTGCAGAAGAAAAATGAGTTACTTTTCAATGTACCAAAATGAATGGATAGGTAGAGACAAGGAAGGAGGTCAAGCAACAAAATGACCCGTGTTAGTGCAAACTAAGAATAATGGTTTCACTATTCTAAGACTGAGTCCAGTTAGACCAATAACTGGCCATATCTTGTGAGTAGAGAATCTTGTAAAATCACAAGAATTCAACAGGTAATCTATTATGGCCACAAAATCAACATCCCAATTTGAAGATAAGTGTAGGCTCAGACAATTTAAATCTGCCTAGCTATGCACATGAACTAATTTATACTAGCACCAGCTACCTGTGAATTCGAGCCCTTTTTGGGATTTTAAAAAATGAGACAGTGTTAGCACTTATAAAGCTTATCAACAGAAAACTGCTACTTTAAAACTTTAGCTTAACTTAAAGTTACACAGAAAAATATGAATCAAACTAAATGTTCTTTCTGAGACTGATCTGCTTTCCTTTCAATCTACTCTAATAACAAAACACACTTAAATCTCAGTACACTTGAAAACAGTACACAAATATATCTATCTATCTATATATATATATATCTATATATTAAGAATGAGGATCTAAGTTAGTACTTCTCTGCATTAGAGAGGTCACAGCTAAAGTTCTAGTGATATTGCCTCAGATTTTTACCCGTATTTAAAACAAAAAGTCACATCAAACTAGTTTGGATGTCTCTAACCAATAATATCCTAAAGGTTCTTAGCAGAGTGCATAGTTACCTCTCTCAGTGACCACTTTTCACAAAATTCTAAAATAATATTACTTTTATACCAGAAAAAAAAAATGCTGATAATTGCACTTTGTTACCTTTTGCTTACTGAAATGAAAACATCACAAGGATGAAAAGTAATCTGTTCCTACACTGTAATCTTAAAGAGCACCCATTTCTGTTTACAAACTCTCTCAGCTTTCTTGAATACTGACAGCACTTCTTGTATCATTGAAAGACTAGGTTTCCTCAAATACAAGATGCCAGTGAGCTCACTAAGGCCTGCTCCTCATTAAAGTACTTTCTGAAGACACTGAGGATAGAGTTTAGCCACAGCACATTCAAAATGCCGGCCAAGGTCCCAGAGTCTATCTGGGGTCTCATACACTTTCATCCATTGGTCAGCAATGTCATCATATTGGTAAAGGGAATTTTTTCTGCTGGTTCTGAAGACATGTTCTTCAACGGTCACTTGAGTAGCTCGAACAAATAAATGGAGTTTATTCTGGAAAAGTACCAGTTTAAGGTATGGATTTATGGACTCATCACATGGAAAGTCCTTCTTGCGAGTCCATTTATTTAGCTCAATGTCATAGGCTTCTACAGTAAACATACGTTGGTGATTTCCACAGGTTCCAGCTATGTAGTATATAGAGTCCTTGTATACAGCTGCTAAGCCCTGGATTCTAGGCACAGTCATGGGGGTTAAAAAACCCCAGTAGTCTTTTTGAGGTTCATAGAAGAGAAAAAATTCTCCTAAAAAAAAAAGAAAACAAGAATACGTACATTTTATGACCAATTTGTGGATATATGTTGAAGACTAAAGAGCATAATTTCCAAATATATCACTCTCTAAAATTTTTCTCATAATTCCCAGAGATACATTAACATGAAGTTAAAAAGTACCTTAAAACTTTTTCATTCTATGGTACAACACACATAATATTACAGTGGACCTGATTTAGGATGTTCATACTTGGGGAAATATAAGGAGTTACTTTGGCTTGATAGCAGAATAAGAGTTAAGAGCTTGATTTCTTTTGTTCTGTCCATTAATGTGCTTGAGAAAACTTATTTTAAGCCAGCTCTAAAACCTCGTTATTACTAATGGTAAGAATTACTAATGGTAAGATCAAAATGCGCATCTAGCGTCATCGTAAACAAACTACTCTAAGTTTGTGTGTTAATTAATTAGAATGTAATACACAGAATATTTCAGATGTATGTCTCTGGGTCATCAATGTGCTTCCATTAGTGTTTCTGTAATGCAGAGGTAAATATCAAGTTGACTGAGTCAGTTTCAATTCTCTTTTGACCATAAGAGAGTGTGCTGAGTCAGACTACCAACACAAAATATCTGATAGAATTAAACCAGTGAAAATGCATGTTTTTGCTAACTAAGCATTTGTATAAAATCCCTGAGATAAAAATTTTAACCCTTCATGAACACACTAAATGATACATCAATAGCCAAAGTAGTACAACATATGTTTCCTCTTATTTAGTTACATAAAGACTTTGTTTAGATTAAACATACATACTTCTAAATTGTACTTACCCTTGAAAATTACTTGAAACTAGGTTTACCCTTAACTGCAAATGCAACCACCTACTTAATCACAGTGACACTTTACTTTTCATTTTTCTTAAAATTGTTAAACTCCCAGTTTTTGCTTACATATTACCTACTCTTACCTTCAAATTCATAACTGGATTCTTAGTAAAGAAGATAGGAATTTAACTTTCTGAATTATACCTCTATAATTCTCTTATAGAAAGTAAAGATAACACATAATGTTAATTTTTAAAAATTAAAGTCTTCAGAAAGTAGAATAGTGATTGCCAGGGGTTGGAAGTAGGAGATAATGGGAATAATTGTTTTATGGGTACTGAGTTTCAGTTTGGGAAGACAAAAATGTTCTGAAGATAATTCAAATTGTAGGTATCTACAAAAACACTAATCTGAAAGATAAATGGTAGTGTTGGTTGCACAATAATGTGAATGCAGTCAATGCCACTGAATTACATACTAAAAGTGGTTAAAGTGATAAATATTAGTTACATTCTACCTCAGTTTTGTCAAAAAAATGAGAATGGTCTCTATACATGGCCTATCAATAGTTCCAAAATAATGTTAGGTTAAAAAAAAAGTAAGGTGCAGAATAGTATGTATATGTCACCATTTTGTTTGAGCTATATTTGCAACCTTTTTTTAAAAGATTATTTATTTGTTTGTTTGTTCGTTTAATTATTTAATTATACAAGAACCAGGGTACAGGCCAGATTCACGGGAGGGTGAGAGGATTCACCAGAGACTGAGTGAGGAACAGAACAGGCAGATTGACTGAAATACACTGCAGAGGGGAGCAGCAGGCGCGACAGGAGAGGTCTGCTGTGCCATGTGCAACCCTCGCCAGAGGGCCAAGATCAAACCGGCGCTGCAGAGGCTGCGGACAGCTTCACAGGGCTGAGCTCAGCCGCCTGAGCCACCAGGGGAGACCCTATATTTGCAACTTTTATGTTAAGTCTAAAATTATTTCAAGTAAGTTTTAAAAGGCAGAGAATAATACACATGTACAGATACATCTGAGCATGGATAAAACATATCTGAAAAAGGAGATTAGAAAATGATAATAGCTTATTCCACTTAGAAAAAGTGAAAGTCTACATCAGAAAGCTACAAGCAGACATTTTCTTACCTGCACACCTTTTGTAGTTTGAGTTTCTAATTTCATGTGTACATTTCTTAAATAAAAATAAGTAAGTAAAAAAACTAAAGTCTACTTTAATAAATTGAAAACAATGGTGGACAATTAAGAAAACCATTATAACTTTGAATATCGTTTGCACAAAAAAATAGAAAACAAAAAGAAATAGAAGACACAGAGGTGGTTAGCTATTGCATTAACATTATTAAAATGACTTTACAACCTAGAGTAATATATATATAATGTACTATATATATTATATATATGTTTAATGTAATCCCTATTAAAATCTTTATGACAGTCTTCACAGAAATAGAAAAAAATCGTGACAATTATTTGAAACTACATTAAGACCTTACGTAGCAAAAACACTGTTGAGAAAAAAGGCATAAAAATGGAGGTGTCGGGCCTCCCCTGGTGGCGCAGCCGTTGAGTGCTGGGCTGCGAGGCTGCCTGCAGCCTCTGTAGCACAGGTTCGGTTCGTTCCCTGGCCACCGGTGAGGGTCCCACAAAAAAGAAAAAAAAATGGAGGTGTCATACTCCCTGACTTAAAAAGCTAGAGTACTAAAACACAGGTTGGTACTGGAATAAAGACACACAGACAGATTAATGGAACAGAACTGAGAGCCAGCAATAAAATGACACATATTTGGAGAACTAATTTACCACAAAAGGGCAAAGTGAATACAGAGTTACAAAAGTCTACACAAAAAGTAGTGTGAAAACTGAACAAGTCACATGGAAAAGACTGAAACTAGACCACTAATACCACATACAAAAATAAATCCAAACTGGATAAAAGAGTTGGATGTTAGACCTGAAACCATAAAACATAGAAGATAAATCATAAAACACATAGAAGAAACACAGATAATATGCTTTGGCCTTCGATATATGTTTGGGAACTCAACACCAACAGCAAGGGAAACAAAACCAAAAAAAAAGAAAAGAAAAAAGAAAAAAAAAAACGGGACTACAATTATCTAAAAAGGTTCTGCAGAGCAAAAGAAACCTGTATCAAAACAAAAAAGGTATGCAGAAGATATTTGCATACCTTTTGTCCAACAAAGGGTTAATATCCAAAATAGACAAAGAGCTAAAAAAACTCAGCAATAGAAAACAAAAAATGGACAGAGGATTGGACTAGACATATCTCCAAAGAAGAAATATAGATGGCCATAGACACATAAAAAGATGTTCATCATCTCATTATTAGGGCAGTGCAAATCAAAACCTGTGAGAATGGGCTATTATCCAAAAGAAAAGAAACAAAAATTTTGGAGAGGCTGTGAAGAGATAGCACCCTTTACACAGTGTTGATGGGAATGTATCCTGGTGTACCCATTATGGAAAGCAGTTTGAAAAGTCCTCAAAAATTAAAAATGGTAATTTCATATGATCCAGTTTTCCTATTCCTAGGTTTTCACATCCAAAACACAAAAACAGTAGTAAGAAGAGATAATGATAATGCCCCTTCATGCATGTTTACTGCAGCATTGTTTACATTAGCCAAGAACTGGAAACAAATGAAGTGCCCATCAACAAAGGATGGATAAAGATATGGTATTTATAAATAATGGAATACTATTCAGCTATAAATGATGAAATCCTGCCATTTGTGGCAACATGGATGGACCTAGAGGAAATTATACTTAATTAAATAAGCCAGACAAAAGACAACAAACACAGTTCGATTTCATTCATATATGGTAGATACAGAAAACAGATAACTAAATAAAATGAAAATATTCTTTTAGACTATAAAAACAATTAGTTGTTATAGTGGGTACCAGAATAGGGATGGGTAAATAGGGAAAGATGGTAGAGTGAAGGATAGACTGGATTTTTGGCAGTGAATGTAATGTACTATAGACACATGTTAATAATGATCATAATTGAAACTTATTATAGTTGATGTTACTTCAATTAATTTTTTCCATTTAAAAATGGCTGCATGTGGAGAAAAAAAGACCCTTGTGCATTGTTAGTAAGAATGTAAACTGAAGTAATCATTATGGAAATTAGTATGAAGAGCACTCAAATTATTACAAAAAAGAAATTCAGTATGATCTAGTTATCTTGTTTTCTGGGTATTTGGCCAAAACATTATTTACACAGAAACATTATTTAAAAAAATATATATGCACCCCCATGTTTACGGCACCATTATTTAGAACAGCCAAGAGTTAGAAAGAATCTAAGTGTCAGTGCACAGACAGCTGGATAGATACACCCCCCCCACACACACACACACCCCATGCTGAATTACTACTCAGCTCTGAAACAAAAAACAAGATGAAATTTCTGCTATTTACAACAACATGAATGGACCTCGAGAGTATTAAGCCTAGTGAAATGAGTCAGATGAGTTAAGACAAGTACGTACTCCACAAGATGTCAAAACACAGTAAGAGCATTAACAACTTGCAGTATCACTTTAGTAACTTAAAAATACCTGCCTTTTTGATATAAAATTTTATTTTCTTATAGGCCTTTTAAAAAAAGACTATTCTAATAGTGATGATAAGAAAGCCAGAGGTATTCTTCAATTAACAAGCACAAACACCTCTTTTAATAGAAGTCACAATTTGACATGCTGCCCTTTCATAAAGAACCAGATTGCTTAGGTACCTACCCTGCAAAACATAAATCTTCTCCTTGTACTCCACAGCGTTGTGAAACTCCATCGCAACAGGCATCGCACAAACAGTTGTCCAGCAATTCTCTCTGCTGTCGTAGCACTCCACAGATTTGAGTGAGTTTCTCCCATCGCCTTCATAAACACGACCTCCAATTGCATACATCTTACCACAGCAGTGCACCAGTTTGCAGCCTATTCTGGCTCGAAGCAAGGAGGGTTTGGATAGCCACCTATTGGTGGAATGGTCATACATCCAGAAATCATTTTCTGCCTTATGGTCGATGGATACCTCACTGCTGCTTGGCCTATACCCTCCTGCAATGTAAATGTCATTATCTGGTGATACAAGAATCCCAACTTCTCTTAAATCATTTGGTGGTTTGCATAGTTTAAACACTCTTCCTGTGACTATATCTAGACAAGGCACTGTTTGCTTCTTTCCTGAGTGTTTATGGGCAGCATCAAAACATATAATCATTTCAGATGCAGTCATTCCAAGTCTCTGTGTACAGCCATTGGTACTGGATGATCCCTTTTCTACGTAACTTTTCGCTATAGCTTGTGCAAACTGAGGTGGAATTTTCTCTATAAAGGTATCTTCCATCAGAGGAAAACGTATGCATTTGGCAAAAATTTCTGGAAGGTACACTTCTCTTTCATTCTGTTCATGTTCAAACCACCTTATAATGCTTTCATAAACATGTTCTTCTCGGTCTACGTTTAAATCATCACTGTCTAGTATGCTTATCAGTTGGTCTTTTGTCAACTGGAGAAACTCTTGTTCTTTGGTGACACACAGGAACTTTTTACGAATATATTCTTTTGATCGATCTCCAAGTTCCTGATGACCATAATGATCAGCAAAGATGAAGACCCCAATAGAATTTTGTGGGTCCAAATGACTGATCATATACTTAGCACACTGGTCTTGGATGGAAGGAATCTGGAAGATGCTGGCTGCAGTGAACAAGGCTTGAACATTGGCCTCTGTCAGAACAACTCTGGAGGTGTAAGCATAGTTCAGCACTAAATCCATTGATTCAGCTTCAACACCGACTATTCGAACTTCTTTTTGAGTACTTTCTGTAAGGCCACTAGTGAACATGGATCTAAGAAGGAAAGAGTGGTTAATGTTATGTGTGTTCTACAAATGAAATTACTGTGGCAAATTTTTAATAGTAAAAAGTTACCACAAAAATAACTCTTTCAAACTGTAAAGTCTTTCTGAATGTGTTTCCTGATATTCTGAATGGAAATAATACTTGATAATCTAGCAAAAGGATTTAGTCTGGCTAATCTCCCTATTCTCAGGACCACTTTGTGCCAACTCTGAAAAAAGGAGAGTACATCTAATTAAAGCACCCCAAAAGGTACATGGACTATTCCAGAACACCTCGTTTTCCTTGGCACTTCTATCCTGGGTTCTGGTCAAATTGCCCTAGGAATGTGAGATCTTAAGTCAGCAGGTCAGACAGAAGGTTTAAGAACACCTGTAGGATGTCAATATGATATATCGGTAAACGAAGAGACTATCTTCTAAACCTTCTCAAGTTCTAGTGAAAATTTACAATGTAATTTATACCCAGAATATTAATTTTATAAAAACACAATAGCAAAATTCAGCAAGTTGAACAAAAGGTACAAAGATTCACTTATAAGAGAAATAACTCCTGGAGATGTCATATATAATATGGTGACTATAGTTAACAATACTGTATTGTATAATTGAAAGTTGCTAAGCAAGATCTTGAAGTTCTCATCACAAGAAAAACAATGGCAACTATGTATGGTGATTAACTGATATTTTAGAGATAAAATTTTTGCCTTTTTTTAAATTAAAATATTTATGCATTTATGAGACTCTTGGCCAAAACATACAGTAGCCAAAAGCCTGGCACTTATTAGTCATTAACAAATATTATTTGATTTTTTTCCATCCCTTAAGGTTTCTTTCTAAGTGCTCTTAAAATTAAATATAAAAATCAAATCAAAAGTTCTTTAAAAGCCTGCTGAGAAAAGGGCTGTATGCTCTTAATAGATGCTTAATAGATATCTTTTGAAGAAATTAACCTAACACTGGTGATAAAGTTGATTCTTCAAATCCAGATCTCTCCTATATTTTTTAAGTGTGATAGTCAAAAAAATATCCTTGAATGGGCAGATTGTCAGGAATATTTGAAGACTCCATCAAATACATAGAATTAATTTTAAAATGCAATATGAGAAATATGAAGTACATGAGGGTACAATACATATAACCCAGCTTGCTGCCTAGGTTACCAATCTTTGAGTCCTATTTTTACTTCTACAATGTGAATATCACACAGATTTTTTTTTATGACTGAAAAGTAGATGTTTCAATGTATAAGGTGGTTTTCAGTTCAGGTGGTAAAGAACTCAGCTATACAGCCACCAATTAAAAAGAAAAATAAGGCCCTTCATTAGACAAAGATTAACTCCCAAAGGAGAACATTACCACATATCCCTTTATCATGGGAACTACCTCTGACTTGAATAGACTGGTCTCAGACACAAGAATAGTGTGACACTTGATAGGTTCTTTATGTAAACTCTGTAAGTGGGAGAACTCTTCATCACAAAATCCTGAGCAGCAGAAAGTTTCTAATACTCATACAAAATTTAATTGACAAGTCATTGGGATCACAAAACTGCCACGCCAGATTTCAAACTATTCTCATACTTTTACTAGTGATGCAAGATTTAGAAATTATTAAGTATGACTTCAGTCTCACATAAGGAGCAGCACCTGTGCCAAGAAACTTCAGTATAAAAACCTCTAGGCAAGAGATAAAAACCTTACCTTAAGTTTTCTACTCAAATAGCTTCATTTGAATTCATTTATCTTAGGAAGTTTTCTAAACTTTCCTTAGCATATGGAAATTAAAAAAAGAAACCAGTATGACTTTAATATACTTCTTGTAAAGTGATTTTTCTAGGTCTTCAAAATTAATTGTGATATTAAATTTCAGTAAGATACAGACATTTTCACTTTTAAGTTTTATGTTAAAAATATATAATAAAAACTTCTGAAAGGCAACTTAAAGAGATACGACTCTTGTTCCTTAAGTCATACAGTGACAAAGAAACCTAGCTCTGAAATCATGTCCATCCTCTGTCACTTACTAGTTGGAAAGAGCTTTAAAAGAAGGTCGCCTAACCTCCCTAAGCCTGTTTTTTTCACATGTAAAATGGGAATAACAACCTGCAGAGACAGTATTGTAAAAATTTTATATATAGCATTCTGTGTAAAGTAAGTTTGATAAGTATTTAATAAGTATTCACTGTGACTTATATTGGCCCAATCATATCTAATGGCTAGTTTGGATAAGTGCATCTCAAAGGCAGTTCCCATTACTAGGCTAAACTCCATACCTTCTGTATATATAAATTTCTTTTTTTCAGTATGGCTCACTGTCTTGTGATGTTTAATACTTAATAGTCAAATGACTTATGCTAGGCAAGTCTGAATGGTTACATCTATATTTAACTCAGTATTCTGAGAAAAGAAGAACTAGAAACTACTGTCTGGCACACTACACTACTATATGTCCTACAAAAGTCAGCACCTTCAAATGGAAAAATATATATTTAGGGTGTGGTTGAGAAAATTATTTCACTGTTATTCATGCACCATTTTTGAATATTGAAAGGCTTAAAAGGTGAGCAATTGTAACAAAAGTGGTAGGAACTGCCTTTATCAGCTTTCAATCCAATTTTTTTTAATTTTCAAAATTTTATGATACACAAAGCTGAAAAATGAACAGTAAAACTTAGGTTAAACATACTGCTGGAAATCTTAGGAAAAAATCTCTATTCTGAGACCTAAGATGCATGGAAACTGACTTTCATTCAGTTTATTTCATTGCTCTTGTCCCATGGCATTAAAACAATCTATTGAATGTTTCTCAAAAAACAGGCTATTATGTTTCAAACTCTAAAAGAGTTACATGCACTAAAGAAATATGCATTATAGATAACTTTTTGGAACAAATTCTAGATAGGCACTAGCCAGTGAAACTCTTGATGATGGAAATGCTCTATACCTGGGCTGTACAATATGGCAGCCACTACCTATATGTAACTACAGAGCACTTTAAATATGGTTAATGTGCCTGAGGAACTGAATTCTTAATTTTATTTAATTTTAAACAGAAGTTTAAGTGGCCACCTGTTACAGTGGCTGCCACATTGGGCAGCACAATTCTAAATTTTCTGGCATTTACCTGAGACCAAAAAAAAAAAAAAAAAAAAATCACTAACTTAGAAACCAACCACTTGAATTCTAGAAGAATCCATTAAGTCAAAAACAAGGGTTTAATGAAATAGGGTCTGCTATATATTTTCAGGAAACAAACTCACGGGTTCATTTCATTGTAGTAACTCAGCATAATAATCAAGTGGGCAATACTGAGGGGAAAGGGCGCTCCGTGCAGTTACCAATAGAAGTTTCTACCATCATCATACCTGAAGTAAGGGCTGATTGCAGCAAGAACGTTTCTATGACAGGAAAATGTTTTCCCGTGATCCACTTCCACTACAATGTCTGTCAACTGTCCTTCATCGTACATTGTTTTGAGTTGCTTAAGAATACTGCAAGCATGGAAGGGGTCCATGGCATCGCTGGCTGTGTCTGAAGATGGAATCCCATTCGGTGTTGGGGAAGACTTATTTAAATCTAGGAGGAGAAAAATCGTACAACCACCACAAGGTCCGAGCCAGTGACGGCGTCGCGGGGTTTGCTTGCTTGGCTTCTTCCCCCACCCCCACCCTTCCAAAAAATGCATTTAGACATAAATACACATACACATGTACATACAGGCAACAAATCCACAAATGGGACCGCGAGGCAGGGTGTAGGGCAGAGCGAGCAGAAAGCGAGCTGTGATGCAAGTTCCAGCAGCAGCCTGCTCCTCGGGGAGCCCGGCGAGCCCGAAGCCCCGCGCTCGCGGAGGGACGGTGCGGGCAGAGCCGGCGAGGTGTCTGCGGCGCCTCCGCCGAGTGCCGGCACATCCCACTGAAAGCGGAGGGCTGGAGCCTCACGAGGGAAGCTCCATGGATGGCGGCCCCCCGTGGCCCCTCAACCGCCTCCCGAGCGGGTGGGAGCGGCGGCGGGTACCCGGCCTCCCCATCCCTGTCCAGCCGGACCGCCCACCGTCCTCCACGCCACCCATTCTCGCTCCCCTCCTGCCTCGCCACCTCTCCATCCCTCGCCGGAGCGCCTCCGAGCCACCTCTCAGCTCGCAGCCCGAGCTTGGCCCGGGCCCAGAATCCCCCTCCCCCCACCCACCCCTCCCTAGCCACCACACTACCCACCTGCCGACGCGGCCATTTCTCAACCGAGCCCTGGCTCTAGCTATTTAAAGAGGAAATGTCATTTCGCTTCTCTCTCTCCCGGGTTCCGGCTCTTCTAAGCGTCCTCTAGCCAATGGGGAGGTCTATGCACGCGGCTCCGCCCCCAGTCTCAGAATTCTGGACGCCGATTGGTCGCAGCGCGCGCACGGGCCCTTCGGGTAATGTAGTTTTATTGCCCTGGCTCCCGCGTGGTCCGGGTGGGGAGGAGGCCCGGCGCGGGAATTCCTATTGGCTAGTTCGCGCGAAGGTGGAGCGCTGGGGGTCCGCCAGCCTGTGTCCGCGGGGCGCGCAGTGCCTGCCGGAAGAAGTAGTCTTCTGGCTGAGCAGAGCTGTCATTCTAAGGGGCTAGGGTAGGGAAAGCTCTTCATGTGCAAATTTCCCCATTTTAGGCCTCTCCCCAGGCCCCCAGCTCTTTTATTTTTTTTTTTTTTCTTACCATGTTCTTCATTCCCTAAACCTCCTGCCAATGACTAGCTTCTGGTATGAAAGCGAACTGTGCGTGAGGACTGTGAAACCAGAAAAATTTGGAAATAGACAAGAGGACTGTTGTCCAAAAATGCAAGGAAATCTGACACCCCACCCTGAAGAAAAATATCAGGAGGCCCAAAAGCAAGCCTCATCTCTGATGAGTCACCTGTGACACCCAATTGAAATAGCGTCGCCTTGGCCAAGGGCTCTGGTTTCCACAGTTTTAACTTGGTCTGGTTACAAGGCTGCTCAGGATCTTTAACTCCCACTCATGCCTTGCTTTTCCTCGCACACTCAGAGAACACCTGTTTCACTTTCAAAGGACGCGAGTACATTCTAGAGGGATTCTAGATTCTTTCCTTTTTGCTCTTGGGAAAATGGAGGGATTAAGACACCAAGGGGTTGGGGGGAGCAAACATTGTTTAAAAATGAACAATGACGTAAAAATATATATAAATAACAAGAAAATTAAAAAAAAACCGACACTAAGTACTTTAGAATTTCCTTTGAAAACATATTGGAGAGTACCCTGAGCCTGGAGGAAGGGAGGATTACTTATTAAATGTGGAGTCCTAGCTAACACCCTTTAATTCTTGAGCACTAAGATCCTTTACTTGTAACCTGTGAATAAAAATGCCTATTCTATCTGCCTCATAGACTGCAAGTCTTTTGAAACTAGGTATTTTATTTTACTGCTGACAAGTTATTATTTAGTTGTGTTTTAGCATCTAATAGGGTGCCTGGCATATTATAGATACTTAATATTTTGAAAGTCAATGTAAGGCACAAATAAGCCAACCTGGAAAATGCTATTTCATCTTTGAAATGTAAGGAAACATTATCAGTGAACAGGAAGGAATTGTTAATGGAAATATAGTTTGTCCACACACATTGCTTTTGAAACACTAAAAAGATCAAGCGGTTGAATTTCTTCATTTAGGGATCTTGAAATTTAAGTAGAGATTGAGAAAGAATGATGAAAAAAACAATTCAGTCATGTCCTCTATATCTGCTGAAAAATTAGAGCTCAAAGTACTGTAATTTCATGCAAGTTAATGAGATTTGGTCTTTCCTAGGGACGGGGATGTATAGCTATCGATATAATATCCTCCTTATAAAAACCCTATCTACATAGTTCCGCATGGATGAAACAGAATTAACTTTTGTCACTGATATATTTAAATTTCCATTTTTTATGAATTCAATGTTATGATTTCTAATTTATGGAAATACTAGGGGTTCCAGTCACAACAGTCAATCCTCTGGTCACTAGAATTACAAAATAAAAATACAGAATATGAAATGTTTGGGACATATTTACAGTAAAATATCATTTGTTGTTTATCTGAAATTGAAATTTATTTGGGTGGTTTGTATTTTATCTGGCCGCCTTTCGAACTTATTAAAATAAAGGTTTTTCTTTTTTGTGTTTTGTTTTTGTTCTAGCCACCTATCTAGTCTTATGAAATTTGGCCAGTTTTCTTTTTCATTTAATTTTCACCTTAACAAGTAGAGTTGCAAATATTTAACTAATTAAAAGAAAGTTTACTTAATGATTCTTTGACCCATTAAAATTTCTGAAATTGGAAGTGGGCAGAATAAAAAGAACAAAAACAAATCTATATAAAAATAGGAGGGGGTTGAATGAAGATTTATAATTCAACATTGCCATTTATATGACAGTAAATAGACTCCATTCTAGTGGGCAGATGGCATTACACAGTAAAGATTTCATCATCATTAGAAATGCATTAAAAAGAAAACCAGAATAATTAGGAGGATGTAAAAGTTGAGCCAGAAGTCCCACACTATTCATTCTCAATGATGTTTAACAATACAAAGGAGATTTTGTTTCATGGTTGATACTAAATAGTCAAAGCTTTGTTTTCAAATAGCTCTAATGTGAAATTTAATAAGAACCTACTCCCAATCCAGAAAGGCAACAGCAAAACTAAACCAGTTTTCTTCTTAATGTATTAGGTACTATAATGTCCTCTGAAGCAATTTCTCATATATTTACAAGTCAAAGTGAAATTTTGTAAAGAAAACATTGAAAATGCAAATCAGAATGTTTGAAGGACCTATATTTAGTCCAAAGTGGGCATTGAGAGCTTTATTATTTTAATATGTATTTCTCCTGAGCCAAAAGCAAAGAAGATTGCTATAATCTTCTTATAATCAAAATGATAGTTTGAGAGTAGAAAAGTCTTTACATTTAAATTCTAGAAAAAAATGAAGGATTACAAAAGTAGCAAATTTAGAAAATGAGAAAATTGCCCAGTTACCTTGTTTGTTATTTTTTTCTACTTCCACTTTAGGAGAACGACTTTTAGCAATTATCAGCTGTACTCAGGGTACTGTCGATAATAATACCACACAACACAAGAATGATAGAAACCCTGATGAAGAAGGTGTAAAAGAAAATAGGACTTCACTACTGCAAATAGATTCTGCCATTTTCCAATTTCCCCCTTTCGGTACTGGCTGTGGCTGTGAAATTGACCTGAGCTATATAAAATGAAAGTAAAGAGAGAATACCTGTGACTCTTACCTTTTACCAAATGACATCCTTTTCAGGCTACAGCCACAACAAAATGTGACATTTCCCCTTGCTAAAGCCTATCCTGGCTACATTAATACCTGAAATGAAGCAACAAAAGTGATTACTTGAATACAAATTTAATATATCAGATATAGAAAAAGTGTTATTTCTAGAAACATATTGCACATAGTTTCTTTTGACTTAGATTCTTTTAAGTACCAGCCTCTAAACAGATGTTAACATCAGAGTCACTGATTGGACATTACTGGCCTTTATTTTGTTTTAATTTTTTTCCCTTTGAAGTTCTATGAAGATTCAGTATGCTAATAATTAGAAGAATGAATTTTGTGAGTTGCTGAATTTTATCATACTAGTAAATATTTAAACATCAATTTGTCTTTTAAGTATTTGTAATTTAGTATATACATAAATATATATAACATATATATTGAAATATATATATATGTGTGCGTGCATGTGTGTGTGTGTGTGTGTGTGTGTGTGTATGTGTATAAAACCAGTAGCACGGTTATTCACTTCCTCAAAAATATTTATCTCCCTTCCGCAAAATGCATTTTGGGCAGGCACTGTATAATTTGACTGTTACCAAAAAACATAGCTATATATAATAGAGATCAAAATAGAGATGAAGGCAAAGATAGACAGAGACAGAGTAGGGGAGGGTTTGAAGAAAGATGGAGACTGAATGTCTATGTCCCTTCAGAATTCAAACTGAAGAATGGTGGTAACTAGTGGAGAACTAAATTCTTGTTGAACCACTTTCTAGCTATGACCTAGAACAAGCAGGTAACTTCTTATCTTCATTTCTTTAGCCCTAATATTGGGCTAATAAGAGCATTTCCTCGGCAATTCGGGGATAATATATGAAGATTTATGCAAATTACTAAGTAGTGACTGCACAGAGAAATCGCTCAGTCAATATTACCTATTAATAGTAATATGCTGATAGTAAAATGAATATTCAGTTTAATTTTCCAGGTAATTACTGCAATTAATTTTTATTCTTTAAATCATATTGCCCAGTTTGCAGATTAATCATAGTTAGACCTGAGCAGGAATGCAGCTTTCTTCTTACTTCAATATTATAAACACAGACTCATCATCAGTGATCTCGAGCTTTATTGAGGGTAAGAGAACAAAATGACTTTGGTTTTCTGTGGTACTAAAACCAGCATTTATGTGTTAGAATAGACAAAAAATATATGTGATAGCAAATAATCCTGTGTGTCCAGTGACTTAAATCACCAAAATTTTGTTTTTCGCTTATGCTTATGTCCAACCCAGGCCAGCAGGGTTCTCTGCTCATTGTAATCCCTCAGAAACAGACCGATAGAGCTGGCACCATCACAAATGTTCTTTGTCACCATGCCAAAAGGTTAGCAAGCATGTTGTACATTGTGCACTGGCTCTTTAAGTTTCCACCTGGAGGCACATACATCACTTTCATTCCCATTTTATTGGTCAAAAATGATGTCATTTGGGGAGGGTTGGGTTCAGTGAGTGGGGTCCTTAGGTAACTCTGAGAAAAGTGTCACCAGAGCTCCCCTTTAAGCAGCACATGGCAGGTTTCCCCATGAGACAGAGACTTTTGGTCATATCCAAAAGGGAGGGTTGATCATATAAAAGAAGAAAAAGATACAGAGACAGGCAGAAAGGAAGAGCTGCCTCCAAAAAAGACAGGTTTGTTAAAAGAGATACCTACATAGACACAGGTGGGCAGTCTTGGGAGTACAGCTGCATCTCGCCAGTGCAAAGGTTGTACTGATATAATATTCTTTTAGGGAAGGGTTCATTCCTTTGTGGAATTGTTGTCTGTTATTAAGTTAATTACTTCTAGGATGTGACTTAGCTGATTTATGAGAACCAGTGATTCTCTATAATGACCCTCCATCTCCACATCCCTATCTCTTGGCTGCCCATCAGGATACTTTCTGTAGCATCTGATACTTGTAACAGTTGGCTCCTAAGGATTTTTCATTTCTGTAGGTGATTTAACACTATGTTCATCATTTCTGCCCCCACCTCCAATTTCTGGTCTTGTG